TTACCTAATTTCATCAATATCTGTCCAGTGCTTTTCTTTTGATGCGTTCCCAGACAGACAGACAGACAAAAATTCTAAAAACCATAGATTCAGCCTCTGTATCGATATAATAATGATTATATCGATATCATAATGTACAGATTCGAATCAGTCACTTATAATTTTATTTTAAGTACAGATTATTATCCTGCGGTGAATCTCAAAGGAGTTTGTCTTTGACCTGTATGTATGTACTCGTATGTATGTATGTATGTATGATGCCCGATCGTATGTTCCCTCGTAATTTTCAAAATGGCTTAACCAATTTTATTGATTCATACGTCGTTAGGTTCGCCTTGATAACGCGAGTGTTATAGGATATTATACAGATAGAATCAAAAATTAAGGATCTTAGGCGTTCATTTGTGTGTCATATTATTTACGAGTATATTGTTTCAGTAGATTCTACAAAATAAGGTGATTTTCAAACAAAACTCATCTCGCGGAACTACCCTCGCCTAATATTTGATATCAAACTAGTAAATGTGAAATTTGTAAGTGTATATGTTTGTTACTCATTCATTTTAAAATGGTTGGAGGGATTTGGATAAAATTAGCATTATATGTATATATTTTTAATACTACGCCAAATGTTGATGAGCTATTTACATATGATAATTATTCATAAAAAAACGGCATAGTGATATCGAAGGATGTTTCACCAACGTGAGAGTGCTTTTGAGCAGTCTTTCGGTTATTATGTTGATTAAGTTCATCTATCTTTTCGAGCACTTAACTCTTGTCCCCTACTTTGGAAGGGCCACTGCTGGCAAGCCAGAGGCGTTGTTTCCTTCTAGAGGTCCGTTGTGTTAAGTCCGTCGCGCCCTTTGGCTTTTTCTATTATTATTATTGACTTCAGCATCAAAATTATATATCGTACAGTATTTGTGTTTCCTTATACACGATATGAGTGTGGCGTTCCGTAGCCAAAAAATATGCTATGCGCCTGAATTTACACGCAGCTAGTGCAATCATTCTCTCGTTACACACTTCATGACCACTAATGCACGAGCGTTTAACCCTTTATAGTTTTTATGGTTTACTCTTTAAAACATTATTTAAATATTAAGTTATTTATGCTTCACGCTTTTAAAATAAAACAGACAAATCTTCTTCACATATAACAATAACAAGGCTAAAGGCAAAGATTTTATATTGCGGATGTAATAACATAAATTTACTAATTATGACATTTCAATATTGTTGAAATATTTTGCTTTGCTCTGTATATTTATAGTGAAGTATAATTTCAAAAAGTAACTGTTAAAATATACATTATAACTCATTAATATACTTTCATAAAGAAATATGGTAAATGTACTAGAGTATTCTAAGAGTATCGGATATACCCTTAATCACTAGAACCGCGCTGGTGTCTATAGGCACAACTACGCTACTGCACTTTTATCACTTCTTTTGTACTTTTAATACTTATTATTAGAAGACGAAATTAGTATATTTTTTGCCGTAAGAGTAATAGCCGAAAACTTTAGATGTTTTTTGAGAAGAATATTAGTTTTTTGGTCCAAAGTATCTTGATGTATAAAACTCGTAAACAAAGACACGTAAGTCGTCATTGTTTTACATGAATTTTGGCCATTTCTCACTGATTTGGTATCTGATGAAGGTAAATCTAATATAATTTCATATTTTCAGTTGTTTGTAGCATATTTAAATAGTGTTATGATATAATGAGTTATGTTTATTCACAAATAATACCTATGAGCTGACAATTTTGACATATTTTAATTCCCATCAAATATGAGCTGGACATTGACACATGTCGATATGTGTTATAGATCGATGATATCGTTGTTTTATAAATGTATGTTGAAAAATTAAGTATGATTTTTGCTTGTTTTTGTACACAGTGAAGAATAAAATGCATAACAACATACAGTTATGTATTATAAAATATAGATATATATGTATGTAAGAGCCATTATAACAGCAATATAAAGACGTTCTTCTGAAATAAAATAAACGTTTCTTGCTGCCTCGTGTGTCTCATAGTAAAGGACTATAGTAGTAGTGTATATCAACGAGTTTTTCTACTGGAAAATACTCAGAAATAATAGTATAGAAAAGTCCGTTTTATATTACGTGGGACTTCAAAAACATAATTGACGACATGTGGATGTACATAAATAATATTAAACCTGTGTCTACCATTTAAGACACTCAGGAGAAGACTATGTAGGAGGCTAGGATGTAGATGTATATACAAATAAATTCAGGTTTTGTTAATGTACAATGGCTACTTCAAATAGAATAGATCGAGAAAATAGACAGTCATCTAGTGTAAATTAAAGTTTTCTTTTTCTGTCTAAAGGATTCCTTAGATTAAAAGAAAAGGGGATGGATGAAAGAAAGTATTTTTTTTTGTTAATTAGTATTATGTTCAACTACTTGTACGTATTGTGTTTTTCGTCTTCAAGTTAAGTCACCTGAAACTATCTTTCAGTTTCAAGTGATTTAACTTGAAAACGGTTTATTATTGAAATTCTCATTCTCAAATCTTTACATTGTATAAAATGAATTCGTTTCCACTGTCTGTTCGGTTAGATCTTTTACACTACTCAACGGATTTTAATGCAGTTTTCAGCAATAGATAGAACGATTCAAGAGAAAAGCTAATATGTATAATAAAACATGCATATTATAGTTCAGAAAAGCCTATAAATTCAAAGAATTTTATTTCATACTCGTACTAACCGTTAAAACGCACCTCGGGACTAAACCGAGCGAAGCGAGGGTGAGTCGCTAGTTATTATTATGAAAAAAGGGATAAGAGGTGGCACTAAATGCAACTGGGGAGTGAAAAATAAAATTTTAGTACCATATAAGCTGTATAAATATTTAAATTATATTAAAATTGTAACTAAGCCGAATCTGTACATTGGATATTTTTTGGAAAATCTTATTAAAATAAACATTATTATCGATACAGAGAAATCTATAGTTTTTAGAATTTTTGTCTGTCTGTCTGTCACCGCATCACAGGAAAACTAATGTAGGGATTTTGATGAAATTTGGTATGGTGATAACTGGTTATCCGAGTCAACATATAGGATACTTTTTATCGCGGAAAAATACCTCATTTTTGAGAAAAAAATACAAAAACTGTAATGTAAGAGTATAATAATATGTAAAACCTAAGAATTTGGTTTTTGGTCATCTGGACGCGGGTGGAGCCACGGGCAATGCTAGTGTTAAAATATTATCAGTATTATACATTATTTTGGACCACTTCACTTGATTAAATGTTTAGTTTCTTGAGTGAAAAGTGTTAAATTTTCATATATGTGATAGTGCTTTTATAATTTAAGCTAAATTTATATTTATAAATGATGATGATGATCGTTTATAAAAAATAACCTCAATTTTTTTCTCTTATAAGAAATCCATTCAAAATTTAATTACAGTGGCTTATTATTATGATTAATTGGTGTTTGTTTTTAAATAAAGGACTACTCTGTATTCTAATATCATTTTTATTAAGAATCCACACATTATAACTCAGATGATCACTTTGAAAATACTGCGTTAAGCTGGGCAAATACAACAAACGAGCCGCGAGCGCGAAACCACTGGACAGATTTTGATGAAGTTTGGTATAATAATAGCTGGTTATCTCTTAGAAATCTATACTAACCGTCAAAACGTACCAAGAGACGAACCTGCTCGGAGCGAGGGTGAGTCGCCAGTACCTAAGTACGTAATATAAATAAATCAAAAAATATTTTTGTGCAAATAGATGACTTTATCCACAAAGTAGTGTTTCAAATTTAGTGTAAGAATATACCGTGGTATTATCAGAAATCATAAAAAATACAACAACTAGTACTTTTTCAACAAACACTGACATGCTTATTTATACTTCACCAATAGTTCACTTATAGCTTATTTATAATTCACCAATAGTTTCAAATGTATTTTTGGTGTTTAACGGGTGATGCATATCATACAGCGCGGGGTTCTAGTGGTTAAACGTTAACGTTGATGCGGAAATGGCCTACTTCCTGTACAAATTCTGGAATTTATAAACTGTAAGTTTTACTTTATGAAGAAAAGAAGAACTTCCGTTTTATATGTAAGGTAAATCTCAACATAGAGCGTTATTAGAGGCCATGTTTCCATTGTGGCGGCTGTGTTTCCATCTGATCCTAAATATCCCTATGATACACAAGTTAAAAAATGGCTTTAAAAGTTTCAGTAAAGTATATAAGTTTGACCATGACGCAATAGATATGAATAATAGTTTACACAATTTTTATGTTAGAATATTAACATGTTTTAGTTTTTACCCGACTGCAAGGAAAGGGTTATGTTTTTCGCGCCTATCTTTTTATGTTTTTTGTAATATTCTTTATTCCCTCGTATCTTCCAAACCACTCGATGGATTTCCTTAATTAGGTATGGTTAAATTCGTCTCATTAGTCCAAGTATTCTTAGATAGGTGACATAAAAAAAACGCAAATCGACGAACTATATAAAGTGGGGTATCGTTGAATAGGTATTTAAAAATATTTTTTAGGTTTTTTACATGGTGGTGTGGTGGTATATATATATATATATATATATATATATATATATATATATATATGTATATATACATATATTTATTTACTTATTGCATATAAATTGAATTGAATATAAGAAAACCATTACAAATAAATTTAAATAAGACAAGGAATACTTCAGGAGATATAAATTAACACTCCAGAAAATATTGTAGTGCTAGTGATTTCAGTCGGAAGCAGGTTTTATTGAAAACCAATAACAAAGCTGAAAATATTAATCATTTGTTGATGTTCAATCGAGTAATAAACAATTTAAAATATTTAATTTGTATCCTTCATAATCTCATTTACTGAAATTAACGTGTTTTTGCAATTAAGTATATTATTAGTTGGAAATACAAATAAATACTATTAAGTTTAGCGAAATTGAATACTTACAGAGAGTCGCTGTCGGGTTGGTACAGCAATGTCTTCTCCTTCACCATCTCTTGGATCTCGCGTTCGTATCAGTTTGGTAAAAATATTATGCCCATCACGGCGCACCGATGCCCAGTCCACATCACGCAGCCTCTGCATACCTGAAAATAAATTAATAATATAATTAGTGTGTGCCAAAAAACGACGATATTTTTTTCTTCGTTCTCGCCCCAAAATATCTCAGAAAATGTCCCAACAAAGCTCCGTTAAAAGCGGAGCTCAAAATTCCAATTCTAAGAGGTTCTCCATCGAAGTTTAAGTTTTCCCATACAAATAACTTGGAAAATATGGTTTTTAATACTTTTTTGTCCTGCAGACTGTGACGAAAATATTTTTCAAAAAAAGAAGTGAATGCTGCTAGTTTTAAATAAGTTCAAAAATGTTTTATGTCATATAAACCCTTCCGATTTAAAGTACTTATAACATTCTTCGATATATAACTCGTTAGCTGTTAAAGTTTAATGTATGTACATATATATGGACTGGAAAGTAAAAATCTTATTAAAATCGATTAAGCCATCCTTATCCCACCCTTTATCTTCTGACACTTTTTATTTTCCAGTATATATTCCTTTTCGCCTGAATCCTCAATCCGCTAGTAAAAGTCCGGTTTAATTTGCTTATGCGGTTGTGGAGATAAGGATATACCTTTTTTATGTGGATTTTTATCGGGTAAATAATTTAACACAATAAGCTTAACACAATATAAAATAGTTGTTTTGGATTTACTGATTGTTATTTCAATTTTGTAAATATACCGATTTTTTTTTTAAAGTATTTGAAGTGTTATTTGGCTTCTCGTATTGAGGGGGTATACCTATACAAATTATTGTAAGATTTTGACATTTAAAAATTTAACGGAAATAGACTTATTTGGTTTTCCATCGTCACCTTTCTAGTCACGCACCGTTAAGTAAAATATTGTATATTTCTAAATTCAAATACTCTCTGAATAATATCACAAGAATTATACTAAAATTTAATAAACGCAATTTATATAGCTCGATTAGATTGATTTTCAGGTATGAAGAATGTCTCTGGTAATGTACGTACGTACGCAGCTGTAATTGTAGGAACATGCTTCATAATATAAAACAAAGAAATTTGATACAATATCAGCTTCTTAGAAGTTATATAAATGTAATTAATACTGGCAATATAGAGTTCACTTTAATTAAATTTATTTTAATAAAAATCTGTTTTTGAACAATAATTTTTTCTTCAGGGTACCTTTTGTGCTTGCGGCGTTAGCTTTTTTTATATAATATAAAACTTACCATCTTCATTATATAAATTTTTAATTTATGCAGAATATTACGATATCATTATACATAGTCTTGCCATAAATATTGTTACAAAGAAAAAAAAACGTTTTTCTATTGCACGTAACATTTATTACTATTACAGTGTGTTAGTTTAATACATGAATAATAATAGTAATTTTGCCTTTTTTATTTCCTTAATAAAATTACAATAATAGTATGTTTATAGAGCATGCATTTAATATATAACAATTTCATAAAAATAAAAAAAAATCTTTAAATAGCTTATACAAAAAAAAAACTTAACTAATTTTAATTTAATTTTTTCTATTTTAACAATTATATATTTAATTTTCTTTCTTTTCTTTATTTATAAAGGACTTCTCCATAGAGTAATGGCTTCCTCCATTTTTCTCCACAAAGTTCTATCACTACTAACTAACCTGTCTTCGTTCATACGTGCAATATGGCCGGCCCACTTCCATTTCAGTTTTTTGCAGTGTTCTAGAGCATCAATCAACTTTGTTGTTTTTCTTATATTCGTGCTTCTCTTTTAGTGTCAGTTAACATCCAGAATGCTCCGTTCCATGGCTCTTTGGGCTGTTAATATTTTGTTTCTGGTTTGTTTGTTGATAATCCATGCTTGGGATGCATAGGTGAAAGAAGGTAAGATACAAGAGTCCAACACAATTTTTTTCAGCTTCATTGAGATATTTAATTTTAGAATTTCTTTCAGGCTCCAAATTTTATTCCAGGCCATGTTTACACGTCTCATTATCTCATCTATGTACTCTTGGACATATTCTAGTAAGACACTAATGTGTATTTGGTGCCTATAAACTGTTTGTCATAATTTTAGTTTTTGTTGTGTTTACTTCTAGACCAATTTCATTGCTGACATAATTATTTTCATTTATGACTTTAATTGCGAAGAATTTTCTGCAAAGAGTACGACACCATCGGTGAATCTAAGATTACTTCGAAATTGACCGTTAATGTACCTTTATTTTTAATATACCTTTGTTTTTCCACTTTAGTGTATTCATTATATTTTGTAGAACGGTAATAAAAATTCTGGGAGAGAGGAGGAGTGGAAGAAGAGACTGCTCCCAAATACCATCCAAGAAGACTGTACCCTGGACCTCCCTAAATAGAGAATACCGTAACCAGATCGATTACATACTGATGAGGGCAAGATGGAAGACCTCAATAACCAACGTACATACGTTACCGGGAGCCGACGTCATGTCCGATCATCAGCTACTTGTGTGTAATATGAGGTTCAGATTGCGCAAACCCTTAGTCAAAAAAAATGACCAAATGTACAGATATCATTGATAAGGACTCTTTTATCCAATCGCTTCAAGGAAAAGAGCAGTGCTGGGACGAAAACTATAGCAAAGAAGGGAACGTTGACCTCCTCTGGAAAATCTGGGAAAAGCTGGAAATCCACCGTGCAACTCATAAAAGATGCTGTACACGAATCGCAACCCCACACTCCACCTAAAAGGAGGCAACACTGGATGTCGACCGATACCTGGAACCTGGTCGAGGAACGAAGAGGCGTCAAGGCTAAATGTACCACGATACAATAGCTTAATACCATAAGCTCTGATGTGTTCTATGGGCTACTGAAAGGCCGTAGGGCTATACACTTATGTATTACTAAATTCATTTGTGAACAATATGAATTCTTTTCTTCTCAAATTGAATTCGTCTTCCAATTGAAATTTGAGCTTTAATTTAATTGTTTGCTTTCTCAAAAATAGATAACAAAACTGAAGGTAAGTATATCAGCTTGTGTTACTAGCGTTTTTGTAAACAACGAAAGATTATAAATTATTTTTTTTTAGAATTAAAATTCTAACAGTATGGGAAAATGCTACCTATAATTACAAAGTTATATTACGTTTGTAATATTAAGTCAGCCATGGCGAAAGAGGCTGTCAGTGAAGTACATATAGACTTACTGGCGAGATGCAGACGGCCGCTGTTTGTTTGGGCGCGCAGCGCTGTACATTTGCCGAGCTGGTATCTGGCGGTTCAGAGGGCCTCTGTTCGCACCTCTGCACCTCCCCTGCTGTTTTGCTGATAACACTGCCTATTTCAGTTTCCTTGACAGGAAGATATGTACATTGGAATGTCATATATGATTTGGAACCCATAAATGATTATTCCGTTCTCGATACATTGTTTGGTCTTTAATATATTTTTTTACCCTACAGTGTGTCATACTTTTACTATCCTGAACTATATGCATTTTTCGCGGGTTTGCGAGCGTGTAATTAAAGACATGAATACTCGCTAAGTTGGTTAGTGAAAATTGTCAGCATTCCACATTGATCGTCACTTTTTATTTTAATTATCGTTTAATTGTATCATTTGCAAGTACTACTGTTGATCAGCTTCTTGAAAATCGCCGTTTTATTGGCGAGAGATATTAGAATTGCCTCATTATTTAATTCTATTGCTAACAGAAGAGTGCATTTTTAGGTAAATTTAAAATATATAAGTAGGTATAGTAGGTAAATAAATAATAAAGTTACCTAATCTTTTAATAGTTTATGTTTAACCTCTTTTAATACAGTGCCTTATTTAAGAATTGGCTAAAATTTGCGCCAAAGTACGGTGAATTTCCTTACCAAATGGATAATTTTCAGTCTCCTTTCATAGTGCTGTGAGAACCTCTGGATCGAGTACTGGACCAACATTGGGACCACTTTTTTGAAAAGCGTATTTACTGCGCTAGGCATAAGTGTCCTAATTGGAAAGTGATTTGATCTAGAATACGTCAATCCCTAATGAAAAAGACGACGACGATAGTTAGGTACCTTTGTGCTTAACGTACAATTATCTCAAAGGTTAAAAAAATGCATTTATATATATAAGTGGGTTAATGCAAAAAAAGAATGGGCCATTATTACTTTTTGAATATGTTATAAAATTAATAAAGCCGTTGTGTTAGCTCACGGTTAACCGCCAGACAAAAAAGTTCCAAATAAGCTTATTATAACATATGGTATATTTTATATATTTCATACTTTACAGTTTTATAGCCGTCGTGTTAACTCACGGTTAACCGCCACGCAATTGAAATATACAAACTTATATTTATTATTCTCTTAATAGAAGGTTTTGTTTTAAGGTTATATCATTTTATGTAGCCCTCGTGATGACTTTCAGTTAGCCACCAACCAGGCTTTGAATAGGATTATTTAATTTAATATTAATTTACATATATCTAATGTTTAATAAAATATGACGACAAAATGAGAGTAATCGTAAATATGTAGATAATATGCACAAACTGGACTCGACCGACTATTAAAAAATCTCTTAAATGTGTGCAAAAGGTACCTTGTAGGTTAAAAGGACTACCTTGTTATATTATATCTAAAGAATGAAGCGACGAAATATAATTATAATCATATTTGAAACACTACACACATTATGTGAACAAATTTTAGCTTTATATATTCAGTATAATGTATGTATAATACGACTTTTCAATTCACTTTATAATCGGTAGCTAAACTTAATTAATATTTCTTAACAAACGCAATCTACAAAAGAGAAACTGTCCTTTATATTAACTGATACCAAACTTTAGAAACCAATTATGGAATACATTATCGAAAACCTCGTAGATAGAAGTTTGAGCGAAGCTGAGAGGATAGGGAATAAAGTAATTTTGGTACCGTTACGTATACAATGAACGATATATTGATGTAGCGAGGCCTTTGTAAAACGACCTATCGTTTGTAGACAGTATGACAACATAAAATGATATAGATAAATTAGTAACAACGAGATTGATTGTTATACACTACTGGCAGCAATGTTTTGATACATTGGTCCAGTCTCTGGGAACTGTTACTAATACGAGAACCATGCGATGTGACACGTTATAGATTCTTAAAATATTTTATTTGAGTTATAATTGAATTTAAGTTTATAAAACAAAATATTAAAAGTACTTAGATGTGAAGACTTCTACAAACTTAGGTACATTATGGTTTATTCAATGAAAAGATATTGAATTTAGCTCATACAAGGAATACAATATAACACACAAAAGTATGTAGCAGAATGGACTACCTTCAAAGTCAGTTAAGAAGCTTTTTAAATAATTACAGAGTAAATTATTATATGTATAAAATAATAATCTATACTAATTTTACAAATGTGATAGTTTGTGAGTGTGGATGTATGGATGTTTGTTACTCTTTTACGCTAGAACGGCTGTACGGATCTAGATGAAATTTGGCACAAAGATAGACTAAAGTCTCGAATGACTACTTTTTCCCGGAAAAATGTACGGTTCTCGTGGACTTTTTATTGGTCTGTCTTTGTTCTCCTAGAGGCGAACCTTAAAAGCAAAAGGACTTAGAAATAATAAATACCATACCCAGAAGACTAGCACTATTAGATTTTTGAATCACTGTCCTTATGCATATATCAGAATAAGTTCCAGCCGTATATTATGTTATTAAATAAAACATCACCATACCTATGTATACAAAAGATGCACTTAATTAATTACTAACTACAGCGTAATACTTAAGATGTTAGCGCAGGCTCAACACAGCATCAACCTGATGTAATAACGAACGATACGATCTTGATCGTATATTAGTTATTACTAGCAAAAAAGCGGTGCTTTAAGAGGGCTCGCGAAGTTTTCTTCCTAGTAATTTTAAAGGCAGTTTTTAAAGAGAATTAACTTTTAATGTATGGATTATTAACATGGGCTTCTGTAAATAATTCACACGACAAATCGTTTTTATTCATACATCATGAGGAATTTAAAATATTCATTATTATAAACTTTACAAACTCGTGTATCTCACAAGTCACCTATACCAGTAGGAAATAAAGTTGAAATTGCTCTACAAATATATCCATGACATGTAAATTCATTAATTGGCTCAGAATGCAATCTAGGCCAAGGTAAAACGCAAGATCCATTATTTACTTCTTTAATGTTCAGTACACTATTCACTGCTGTAAAGATCATAACATTACATTGAAAAGTTACCGTTGGGGCTCTAGATTCATAAACATTATCATATAATATGTTTTGATCATCATATTCACTATCTAAATTAATTCAGTATGAGGTAAAGTCATTATCAGGTAAACATTGTAAATTATTTTCATCGATTGTAATATAAGAACACCAAGGATTATACTTTCTTAGATTTACGCGAATATTTGACATTTTAAATAAAACTATCTTTTCGGATTTTGTCGCGGATTTATTTGGATTTTTGTTTCCCGACGTTTCGAATGCTTTACAGCATTCATGGTCACGGGAGAGACTGAGGTGTTACATGTCTTGAATGTATAGTTGTTACAGACAGCCTACCCACAATTAACAAAATAAAAATTGCACCAATTACATTACAATATTTTTTAAATTTAAACATTTTTATAATTTTAATTATAATTGAATATGGAAAATTATTTATTTAATTTTTGCTATTATTTTTATAATTATTACAATTTTAAAATATTAATTAGTAATCTATATTTAGTGTTGCCATTATTATATTTATAACCATAAAGAAAAATATAAAATATAGTATTAATTATTTAAGCCATATAATTGTTCTATGTGTAATTTAAAAAGTTAAAATTAATTAAGGATAATAATTTTAATTTAGTTTGCTATTATTTAAAAACAACTTACTAAGCAACACTATTAATATATACTTTTACAAATGAAAAATGAAAAATATTAATCTGCTAAGCTGTCATTTTGATCTACACAGTATGAACTTACTACATCTGTCTGTCTGTTATGTTACCGATATCGCCCTAGAATGATTCGAGAAGCCATAGAAATTAAAAAACATCCTAATTTCAATAGGGAAGATGGCTGGGTACTACCATCGTCATGGGATCCTGTTATTAATATAATAAAATCAAATAATAAATATAAACATAACAGACAGACAGATGTAGTAAGTTCATACTGTGTAGATCAAAATGACAGCTTATCAGATTAATATTTTTCATTTTTCATTTGTAAAAGTATATATTAATAGTGTTGCTTAGTAAGTTGTTTTTAAATAATAGCAAACTAAATTAAAATTATTATCCTTAATTAATTTTAACTTTTTAAATTACACATAGAACAATTATATGGCTTAAATAATTAATACTATATTTTATATTTTTCTTTATGGTTATAAATATAATAATGGCAACACTAAATATAGATTACTAATTAATATTTTAAAATTGTAATAATTATAAAAATAATAGCAAAAATTAAATAAATAATTTTCCATATTCAATTATAATTAAAATTATAAAAATGTTTAAATTTAAAAAATATTGTAATGTAATTGGTGCAATTTTCATTTTGTTAATTGTGGGTAGGCTGTCTGTAACAACTATACATTCAAGACATGTAACACCTCAGTCTCTCCCGTGACCATGGATGCTGTAAAGCATTCGAAACGTCGGGAAACAAAAATCCAAATAAATCCGCGACAAAATCCGAAAAGATAGTTTTATTTAAAACACCAAGGATTATTATTTTTAAGATATATCAAAGCTGCCCCAACATCTACAATCTTTATATGAAATAGTTTCAATAGAATGAGGTGAGGATGTAGTAAAATCTGTCATATCTTGATGAAAATTGATAATTTGGCCACTGTATCCAAAGTAACAATGTATGTCTATAAACTGTAATAACCGGGCAAACTTGAGCGATTAGTTGTTCTTCAAAAATGTTATTTTTTTTAAAACATTAGGTTGTAGTCCAGGATCCATATTATTGTCTACAGAAAATATTAATTAATTTTTTACTTGAAATTTATGACAAAGAGCACAAAGTCCATCTTTTTCAATATGTAAATCAAACCAACGACGATGACATAAATTACAGTGTTTCAGTTCCAAATTTTTGTGAGCAGTTTGGAAATTAATGGTATACTCCAAAAAGCGAGAATTTTCACGACAAAAATTTTATTCTGCTTCTCGAGTTCTATTCTGACGTTGTCTTACTTCATTCATCAAGTAACGGTTTTGTTTATGTAAGTTATGCTTCATTCATACTATAAAACTAATTCTTTAGTTTTCTTACAGATGGCATCAGTAATACAATAAAAAATTTTTGAATGAAACCTCAGACGTGATTCGAATTTTGAAA